AACTAATGATGTTGTTGAATAATCCAATTTCTGGGCCAGTTCCAAAATCTCCCATGCTACCAAGACAATAACTGAGGTGACAATATGAAGTATTCTTGCCACACCTTCTTTAAATGCTGGCAAAAATAATATAGCAGGATCCTCTGGAAAATCAGGAGGGAACTCCATTTAAAAAATGGCACTGTCTGCATGTGTCAAGAAATATGATATAAGCACCTTTTTAATTAGCATTTTATTCCTGGGGTTTTTTCTGAGCAAGGTCATAAGTACTGGCTGTTTGGTATATATTACTGAGTACATAAGAGATCTACTTACAGCTCACCAGACTGACTGCACTGAGGAGACTGCTGGAATGAATGCCAGAACATGATAACATCAGGGATCTGAGTGATGGGATTCTGAATTTTTAGTTCTGGCTTCACCACTAGCTCTCTTTGGGTGTGTGTAAATGAAACTGGGGCCCTAAATTGAAGTGGTGGGCTTTTAAAAACACTGCTACAATTTAGGGTGAAGTAAACCCCTGTGTTGCGTACACCCATGTCTTATTTTTTCCTCTCTGGCAGTGGGGAGGGGAGGGTGAGCTGCTGGTGGGCAAAGTGGTCCCTGGACCTTGTGGGGAGAGGCTGGTGTTCCCTCCACAGCAGCAGCGGCCCCCCCCAGGTGGCATCCACACTGAGGCACCCAGTTCGGGCGGTCCCAGGGGGCACCGCAGCCATGGAGGGAAGGACCGGGCCCCCGCACAGCTCAGGATGGCAGGCAGGCTCCAAGAGGAGAAAAAAAAAATCAGGCTTGCTGCTTTTTTTTTTTTTTCTTTTGGTGGAGCCTGCCTTCCTGGGCTGCTACCAGGCTGCCTGCATGGGCTGCCTGCAGAGCCCCTGAGGTGCACAAACCCTCTCCATGGCTGTAGGGCAACAAACTCAAACTCCTCAGAATTGTTTTAGTTTGCTGCGCCCCACAGTCATTTAAGGGACATTACACTGCCGAATGTGCTGCAGTGGCTGGAATTGATGCACAGTACACCGCCAACATGTACAAACACCAACACCATTAAAGTGGTGCAAAAGCATTTAACCTGCTTTAAACTGTCATATACACATGCCCCTCGTTTCATCTACACATGACCTTTGTGACTGTCAGCGAGTCATTTAAGCTTCAGTGCCTCTATGTATTTTCCTAGATCACATCTGTCCATTTCACATTTTTGGAATGAGTTCCCTATTAGCTCTTTTTTAAACCACAGATAGTTTTGCTTTCCCCTGGATTTAGTGGCACATGGAGATGATGTGCATCATGAAAATATGTGGCTGTGTTTAGGCATCCAGTCAGGCCAGGCCTCTCTTGATCTGCTATCTGGTACCATGTAAAGCAGTAGAGCCTTTTTCAAGGTTGGGGTGTCGGTGACTAAACCAGTGTCCCGACCTGGGCTAGCCTGGTTGAAGAGGATGTGTGAGTACCCAGCAGGGCTAAAACCAAGACCTATCAAAGGACAGATGAGCTCCCTGTGAGTCAACAGCTATCCATACCTGGATAGGAGATGGGTGCCACCAGGTCACTTTGCCTAAAAAATCATCAACGATGCACAGCATCTAAGGTGCCCCAATGGACACAGTGGCTTTGGGACTGACAGCACTTGACTTGTATTTAGGAAAGGACATGGTAATGTTTTAAAAATTGGAATATTAGCTAGCCTTTTTGGGAGTTTTCAGCAGAGAAGCCAAGAATAGAGATGAAGACAAAGGTGCAAGCTAAGCTGAGTCTTGTTAGAGGACATCTTTCTAGATCAGAGTCCAGGTACACTAGCAGAGTGTATGATGAGCTTCCTTTGTTACTACCTGGATTATGAGTCAGCAGGGCAAACAGAAGGCCCTGCACCGAAGATTTCAAGCTAGGTTTGGAACCTAAGCCCATATTTCTCCATCTCAGTAACTGGTCTGATTTTGGATTTCCTTGCTTGTCACCTTTGCAAATCAGACTGCTTTATTTAGGTCCCTAAATATAGACCCGCATGCCCATTTTTAAGCTTCCGTGTTTGAAAATGTTTGGTTCATTTTTAATGGACTCAGTATTTTCTTTGGTATGTACTGGCTGCATCTACATGAGACACTGACTGCACAGTTGTTACTGCACAGCCCTTTTGTACTGGCATACACAAGTACTAAATGACTGCGCAGTAACTGGTGTCAATGCGCAGTTGCATCCCTGTACAGATTCTTGGTGATGCTGATGCGCAGTAGCTCATTACTACTACACAGTAGTGTTGCAGCATGCTTCATGTCACGTGACGCTACTGCACAATAGTAATGAGCTACAGCATGGTCACCATCTCATATAGATGTGGCCACTGTGTATTTTGTGTTAATCATTGGTGCATTCCAGTGATGTACAACACTGAATGTCTCAGTACAGAAGGCACTTTAAAATATTGTTTTAATCTCTTGTATCATATAGAACAGTGTCAAACAAGTACCAGTTTTCTAATTAATCTACAGTATTGCCGTGGCTATATTTAATACAGCCAAGTAGAATAGCTATTCCTTTTAGTTTTATAATACCTTTCTGGAAGACTCACTTCAATAATCACGTTGCATAGTATTATTCTTTTTCACACTCAATTCCAAGAATATTATCTATGTGATAGATAAAATAAAGATTGCATTATGTTAAATTACAAACCATTTGGTGACATAAATTTTAAGATTTAACAAAGTGAATATAATTATTTATATGTGTTTAAGAAACTGTATTGTTTTGCATATTTGTAATGTGCCTAGGAAAAAGGAGTACTCTCTTGTAATAAATAATTCTTAGCCTTTTTTTTATAAATTAGAATTGATTCATTAATTGGATAAATTAATTTCAAATTTGACCATCTGTGCATCTAATCTACATTTACACAAATAAAAAATGTATCTTTTCTAATTTCTTCAATAAAAAAGAAAAAAAAGTTACTTTTGATTCCTGTTAAATAAATGATCCTTTGCTTTACAGGATAGTGACAACCTTTGGTGGGATGCCTTTGCAACTGAATTTTTTGAAGACGATGCAACCTTAACCCTTTCGTTTTGTTTGGAAGATGGACCAAAGCGATACAGTAAGAAAGAAGTTTATTGTTATAAATGTAAACTTCAGTTCTATATATTTTACCTTTAAAAGAAAGACAGAACTGAGAGCCTGGTAAGAAAACTATCACTTCAATGTATTCAGCTACCAGCAAGTTCCATGAACAAAGTCATTGGTTAACTTTCTCTCTGAAAGAAATTTAAATTACAAAATTTCTTTTCTACTTCTATACCTGGTATACCTCAAAATAAGCAAGTTCCAAGATGAGCTGGGCAAATAATGAAACATTCTTTTGGTATTCCTTAGAATGTTTAAGTATATTTGCTTTGCCTGTGTCTGCACTCTTCTATATATTCACTCTCCCCAAACATTGAAGTGATTGAATTTTGTAGGCAAAAATGTTCACAGGGAAGGAGATTTACAGTGAATTTAAAAATTTGTGCTGGAAGTGCTTCTATATTTGAGAGATCAGAAAAAATATTGGGAGCGTTACCCTGGCTGGTGTAAATCTCCATTTTTCTACCTATTTTATGGAGATTTGTACCAGCAAGGATTGCCTCTGAATCCTCTCTGACCAATCACAATTAAGCAGTGATGCTCAAATTTAGAATGCACTCAATCAATCCTAAATATATTCAAGTAATGACTAAATCTGATGACATTGTGATTCGTTTTCCTGTGCTCCACAAGCAGAGAAAAGTGCTAAAATAAAATGTTTCGAGTGAATTATTCACTTGGCTCCAGCACCAAGCAACACCAAGATAAGTAAACATTGAAAAACTGCATTGCAAATTGTTTCAATCCATTCCGAGTGACCCCTGTTTCTCTGTGACAGCTTGTACTCTGTGCTTAATGTTCTGAATCTTGCAAGGTTCTTATTTTTCCTCAGTGAGCGATTGTCAGTGTATCACTTGCATGCCTCTAATTCCTTTTATCAATTATCTCAGGTATTTATTTGACAAGTGTTTCCTTTTTCTGAAGAAAAAATACCAGCCACTTTGAACGCACATTTTGGGATTAGTGTTGACAGAATTACAGTTTCTTGCCTTTCAAAGCAAGTGATAACTCTGTAAAGGTCCTCAAATTACAGCCTGTAGCAACATTGGTAACAGCTGATCTGTCCTGATTAGGTTGAGTCAACTTGTCAGATATCAGATTTGCTAGTTGTATTATCAGTCCAGAAGGCAGAGATACATCAGCAAAAAGCAATTAATGTCCAGTTAGATCAGAGGAAGTTGTGTTTCTGGAAAACGGTACAGCATATGAAAGGATTTGTCAAAGGGTAAAATATTCCTGTTGTCACAAATGCTTGATAATGGTTGCGCTATCTGTAAAGTTGGGTAGTTCAGTACAGGGCAATGCTGTAATTCTCAGCATTGCTGTTGCTGATACACATGATTGAGAGGTCAAATTATTGTGAGCACACTAAAGCTGCCTAGTATATAGTATTTTTTTATATGTTGACTTCTGAATAAACTGTTATTGTAACTTCTGTTGCTGTGCTCCTTAATGTTGTGATTAAAACTGACCTTGCAAGGTAGTTTTAGATATTTTCACTTCTATACATGCATTAGCAAATATTAATATAATTCCATCATGGAGTTTTTACCAATGTTTTATAGCAGCTATATTGCTAACATTCATTGTTACTGTAAGATCTCATGTGTCATCTAGGTGATCAAACCACTGTTCCAATGACTTACCTGAGCATAATCCAGGTTCCAGAACAAGATTTTTGAGTGGCTGGAATGTAAAATGTCCCACTTACAGCTTGCTCAGACATTGTTTGGGTGAGGAGATGGGTACAGTGTTTGCCTTTTTGCCTACTAATGAGGTCTGATATCCTGAAAAGGCTACAGCTAGTTCAGAACATAGTAGAAATACAGGTCATCTGGACAATTCATTCCTCTCTGCAGTGGTTCTTCATTGAACACAGAGGTCTCTGATTTGCCTGTCAGAGCCCTGTAAAGAATTGGTCCTTGCTACTGGAAAAATGCTCTTTCTCCCCTTGACCATAACCTCACACATTAGCTTTATTCTATGGGAACAATGAACCTGTCGACTAATAATAGGAGGTTCGCATTGTGGGAGATGGAACAGTCACAATAGCAGGACCAAAAGTATGGTATTTTCTAGGAGATGAAATACAAATGATTGGTCACTTCACAGCACTCAGAACTAAATGTCACACCTACCTCTCTGCCCAACCTTTCCTGCAATAATATACTTCCAACAGCAAATTTTAAACATTAATCCTTAAACGACAAAATCTATGAATGCTGTCGTAGAAGGAAGAGGGAGAAATAGTATCTTCTTAGTCTTGAACCCTTGTACCTCATTGGGTACAGGGCACAAGGATGCAGCCCTAGACATAATGGATGTCTATCATTCTTTGATCATTCATTTGTAGTGCTGAAAATGATGGAGGATGGCAACCATATGCCTCTGCTCCAGGATCTTTCCTTAGACCTGTTTCAGTCTGTAAGCATATCACTTATGTATCTGAGATTGGGTATAACTGCAACCTTATTTTTTTTCTTTCTTTTGGGACTTGATTTCCCTTGTTTGGGAGGGTATTTTGGCCCTCTCATGAAACTAAAGTCACCCTCATCAGGGTTTACAAATTCCCATAAAATGAAATCCAGTTCTTTGCTCTGTTTTGGAATGGACAAATAGTCCAAGGTCCCCAGGACACAACTACAGCTTAGTTCCATGGGAGCTTTACGCACATGCCCAAGGTTCAGTAGTGCAATTGCAGTATGGATCATTCTCAGTTATTCTGCTTTGAGCCCTTCCTTCCTTAAGTGCAGATCACAAAGCCCCCCTTTTTCTGTTTTCTGCCCCTTTTAGGCCTATTTTCCCAGCCTTCCCAAAGCTTCTTATCATAGCTCTTCTCAGATTATTCCCCAGGGGTCCCTTGGGTCTTCAGTCTTCCCTGTATGTGTAAGATGCTTGTCCTCAGCAGCTCCTGTTTATTGTACCACCTTTTTTCACCCTTGGCTGAAAATATATCTTTTCTTTCTGGCTTGTAGCCCTTAATGTCTCTCCATCTTCTGTCATTTGTGAACTCTTCCTGTATGGTCTTAAACTCTGTGTTGTGCCTTGCAAGTTGTTTTCCCTATACAAAATAAAACGTCACTATTATGTAATAAAGGTGTGTAAGACACCTATGTACATTCTCTAAACTAGCTTTTAGTATTGAGCCAGTAGCAAAAAGACAGACCCTACATTCTTGTGACTTAGGAAGGGGAACCACATTACCAGTCAGGGAGAGAGTGCCTTTTTCAAACCAAAAGGATAATACAATGCATATCAACATCTACTGAACAAAGTAAGTTAAAAAGCAAACCTGTCAAATTGGTATCACCAGGTAAGCAAAAGCAAATCTGAGATAGTTTTATAATGTTTTGCTTTATTGGGTCAAGAACTCAATAGGGATTATTCAAGAAAAGAAAATTCACTATTTATCCTAATAAAACAGATTTTTCCTGGTTGTGGATAAAACATACTTGTTTCCTGTTAAGTGCCTTGTATCCTTGCAAAAGAGTAAATACTAGACTCTGATCCATTGTTGCCCAGGCTCTTTGTTTCTTAGAGACACAATATTTCCAGAAAAGATAAGAGAAACAAGTTTGATTGACAGCCCTTAGCAAAGTCTCATCAGCTGCTGTGCTGACAGCCTGGTGATGCACACTGTACTGATGTGGTGGGGACTGACAGATGATTGACAGCCCAAGACTGTGGAGACAGAAAGATGAAGCATGCTCAGTAAGAATAATGTGCAGTGTTTATGCAGCACTGCAGAGGATCGGAGCTAGAAAGTTAACTCTTTCAAGGCAAAGTAACATGAGCACATAACAGATGTGGCTGCCACTTTATTGGAAATCATGGCTTGCTTAGATTTCTAATTAGCTGAGCTTTCTATTTATGAAGGAAATTGGTACTGTAAGGAAACAAAGAGATTTAGTTATATTTGTAATTTCAACAGATTACCTAAACTAGATGCATGCTAGATACAGGTGGACTCTTTAAAATGGGCTTATCTGAAGCTTTACATACAGAAATTATATATAGAATGTATTGGAGATTTCATACACTTTTTATGAGCATACATCGTTGTGTTGTATATGTGTTTGCATAACTTTAAGCAGTTTAGAAAGGTGGAAATTTCAGAAGCATCCAGTTTACTAGTTTGCTTTGTGATCTAGAAAATATGAAGTATTATCAGTTTTATTACTGTTCTGAATCTTTAGGTAATAAGTGAATATATTTTTAATGTTATAGCTGCTATTATATTTTGTGGATAGAAGGTATAACAATGTGTCTATAACATACTTTATATGTCATGCACTGTTATTCATTTTCCTATTGTTTGGGGCATGAAATATGTTTTTTCCCCCTTCATCCTAGATTTACCTTGGCATGGGTAGAGAAGGTTTTTAAAAGTAATAGTGTAGCATAAAGCCAAAACTGAACTAAATAGCACATATTTAGAGCTTTAAAGACCATAATAAGGTTCTGCCTCTGCCTTTAGAATATTTTGTTTCTCTGCATTTTTAACTTTATTTCTAATTGCTCTTTTTGTGAATACATCATGCAAGCAGACTGCAAGAGTTGCCTGTATTTCTGAGCCAAATCCATTGTACCTTTTTCCTTGTTCACATTTTATGACATTCTGTTAATCTCAGAGACATTTGCTGGATACCGTTTACCAATATAATAGTGGAGGTTTGGGACTGGATGTTTGTCTCAAGCAAGGATTGTGCCGGGACACCTACGTATACACAGTGGCCATCGGCCACCTTTGCTGACTTGCTAATTGTTGGCAGAAAGATGCTACAAGAGGTACAAGATGCTAGTATACTACCTTTAGACTCAGGATTTCATAAACTGCTTTCTCTCATGTAACTCTTAGAACATTTCAAAAGAAATGAGTTGCAGTGGTTCTAGGTACATGGCTTCTCTTATTTCTGTTTTTCCAGACAAGTTTCAATTGTTAACTTAATGAAGTAATTCAAGTACAGAAAAATA